AAGCATGAAGACGGAAGAGAATTCCACAACCGAGAGGTGCGAGACGGTTACATCAAACCCATTCAACTGTGAATTGATGAAACCTTTCCGCAAATCTAGTAGTAAGCTTAAATTCATAAAGTCTAGGTACCATAGCGAAGAGCTTCCGAACAATTACCATGAAAATATTTATAGAAAAGGTATAGGAAACTACATTATAGCGGTGGGAAAGAGACTGAAGCCGAGAAATCAGGTTAGAACCAATAATATTGCTGATTCTTCTTTGGATTTTATCTTTATATGGATATTTTTAATCATTTCACTTCAAGCAAGGCGATAAAGCCACTAAGACTAAGCGGTTACTTAGAATGAAAGAAACCGAGAAAACGTTTTTGTGGAGAAAGGATAAAAACTGAACAGGATTTACAGAGACAAATAACGAAGATTGATGTTGCACTTAAATTTTTCAAAATCGTAGTTGACAGGAAAGCAAAAAGCTGGAAGTGAGTCCCACAAGCGAGGAATGCAAGACGAGAAACTATTACAATCGAAGTTACGATTAAGAAATTTCAACAGTAAAGTGATGAGACCTAGCTACCAATCTAGTACTGCGCTTAAATTCATGAAGGCGAAGTACCAAAAAGGAAAGCTTATCAGAACAATTGCCATGAAAATATTCATAGAAAAGTTAAAGGGAAGTTACGTTATGGCGTTGGGAAAGTCGAAAATGATAGGTCGGGTCGGTAATGCAGATTTTTCTTTGGATTTTATTAAGAATCTATTCAAACTATGCGTTCTACTTTTTTCAGATATTGAGAAAGAAGCTAATAATCTGACTGAATGTGAAACTAAATAAATAACAAACTCGAATAAAACTCAAATAAAATCGGGACGATGACGATTTTACTGGTTCCAGTTCGCTTGTTGAATTTCAAATGCGTTCTCAAAAGTCGAATATATCTTGCTTTCCGTGCTGTCAAAATATCAGAACGATCATCAAGAGTTGAATGATTTATTTGGATTTTTTTCATCTGCTAGTTACTAACGCTTAAAGAAATTGGAGAGAAATTAGCAAATATCATCGAGTCTTATCCAGAAAAACTAAGAAAACTTAGGTAAAGAGGTTGTGCAATTTGCTAATTAGTTAAAGCTGATCTAGCTTCTAACATTGACGCCAAATGAGACTCTGAAGAGACAATTTTTTTGAGTTTTGCTTTATAAATTTCAAAATTGCCTTGCAGGTCTATTTTTCGCTCATGGCTATCAACTTTTTTTAAAAAAATCATTTCACTCTAAGCAAGGCGAGAATGTCACTAAAACGTAAGTGGTTACTGGAAAGGAAAGAGAATGGAAAAACATTAGAAAGAATTGGAAATCCAACACTAAATAGAAAACAGAGGATAAACCTCTACTCATGTTCAAAAGATGTGGAAGGAGTGTGAACCAGGCGATAGACAGACCTATCTACACCTATTTAATGGAGAATGTGCATTTTAAAAATTAAAATGGACAAAGAATGAACAAAGGCCAACTGAATAATTTCACTTCAGTCAGCATTGAATATCAACATCTGCGTGGAAGGGATAGTTGGTAAATTTAGAAAATGTACATTTTAAATCAGAGCTATTCAAAGAAGGTTTCGTTACCTCTATGGGGAATGCTAAAAAAGACTATTAAGGGTTTCAAGCACATTTTAAACTTTATTTTTTAAAATAATCTATTTATTTTAATCTTTATACAAATTGTATTTTTAGGATGCTTGTGTGATGTGAAATACTTTAATGATATTCACTAATTAAAATTTTTTTTTTGTTAGCTTATTTTTCATTTTTAAAACTTAATATATTAATTTTTATATTACTACTACTACTACTACTAATAATAATAAAGACCACAAAAACGGAATGTGTTTTCGTATTGACATAGCAATCCCTGCAGATTGTAATGTATCTTTGAATATCCTCAAGAAACTATCAAAATACAAGGACCTTGAAATAGAAATCTCAAAAGTGTGACACATAAGGACATCAATATTACCAGTTGTAGTTGAAGCCCTCGGATTGATTGGAAAAGGTTCACATACATTAATTGAATGGATTTCTTGTAGCCTATGCCTTAAAGAAATACAAAAAATTGTACTCACAAGGACAGCTCACATATTACGAAGAGCTCTATCTATGCAAAATGTGTGATCTTTGTTATTTTTTTAAAAATGTCCGTGGAAAATGTCATGAAGTCATTTCTGATCTTAGGTATATAGGATCTTAGGTTGGGACCCGGAAGGAAATCTGTATACAACAGAAATCAAAGGAAATAATCATAATAACAATAATAATAATAATAACAAAACATATTTATCGAAAATTATATAATGCAGCGTATGTAAAAAAAAATTGAACAGAATTTTTACCAATAATAAGCGATAATTATTGTATCAAAATAATAAAAGTTCATGATACGTAATAATTGATCCAATCATTTTGGGTGTTGAGGAGTGAGGAATCGCGAAATTTTGAGTCGACTTCCGATAAGTAACTTTCATTATTTTTTCATACAACAATTTCTTTTTTTTCTTTCTTTAATAAACACTTTAAAACTTTAAAATAATAAATACATTACATGACAAATGACGTCATTTTTCGGCCCCAGTAATTCTTAATAACTATCTCAGATATTAAGTCAGCCACAATTTGATTTATATTGTGTTGAAATACACAAGATTTGATTACATTTTACTTTATTCCTTTCTATGTTTAGTTAACGTTCGATTATAAACTTATTTATAGTTTCAGTACCTATTGTTTGGTAAGAATAAAGGATAGGATGTTAAAACCTCTTGTCTTATTAAGATTAACATGTTCTTGTCACCGTTCAACTTTTTTTTTTTAGCTTTCTTTTTTTTTAGTTTTCCTTCTTTGTTTTTTTTAGTTTTCTTTTGTTAGTTTTATTTATTTCTTTTTTTTACTATTCTTTCTATCTTTTTTTTAGTTTTCTTTCTTTCCTTTTTAGTTTTCTTTCTTTCCTTTTTAGTTTTCTTTCTTTCCTTTTTAGTTTTCTTTCTTTCCTTTTTAGTTTTCTTTCTTTATTTTTTAGATTTTGTTTCTTTATTTTTTAGATTTTGTTTGTTTGTTTTTTTAGGTTTCTTTCTTTCTTTTAGGTTTCTTTCTTTCTTTTTAGTTTTCTTTCTTTTCTTTTTTAGTTTTCTTTCTTTCTTTCTTTCTTTCTTTTTAGTTTATTTTCTTTTTTTAGTTTTCTTTCTTTTTTAGTTTTCTTTCTTTTTTAGTTTTCTTTCTTTTTTAGTTTTCTTTCATTTTTAGTTTTCTTTCATTTTTAGTTTTCTTTCTTTCCTTTTTAGTTTTCTTTCTTTCCTTTTTAGTTTTCTTTCTTTCCTTTTTAGTTTTCTTTCTTTCCTTTTTAGTTTTCTTTCTTTATTTTTTATGTTTCTTTCTTTCTTTTAGTTTTCTTTCTTTCTTTCTTTCTTTTTAGTTTTCTTTTTTAGTTTTCTTTCTTTCCTTTTTAGGTTTCTTTCATTCTTTTTTAGTTTTCTTTCTTTGTTTTTTAGTTTTCTTTCTAGAAATATATTAACTTGTTCGTATCAGTCTATGTCAATCTATTCATATTAATAATATGCTATCTATAGTTCAATGGCCTCAAACAAACACTCATTCATTCATTCAAGTTGTATAGTCATTCTCGTTAACTGAGATCCGTTCAAAACCCGATTTCAGTAGCACATAAGTTTCTCTTTTCTTCGAACGCCTTCCAAAAATAAACACTGACTTTTAAAACAAGAAGGATGGGTGGTGGAAAGACAAAATCGGCGTGGGCAGAGATACTCAAAAGTGATTCAAACTGCAATTTAGGTGCAAACCTTGCATCATAGTAACTCGAGTATTATCTAGCTTTACACTGCGTGGACATGTAGGTGGTTGTTTCAGTAGTGTATCACATAAATAGTCACACCTGTCGTATGTTATATCTGCTTGCAGATAAACTTTTTAAGAATCCGATTCTAATGACATGTAAGCGCATTCAGTTATCCAGATAGCGAAACGTGTTTGAATATTTTGATAATTAAACTGTTAATTTTCTACACCTTTAAATTTCTAATTATTACCTGCTGGAGCCTTGGAAATTCATTATTATCGCATCTCTCTCTCTCTCTCTTTACACACACACACACACACACACACACACACACACACACACACACACACACACATATATATATATATATATATATATATATATATATATATATATATATATATATATATAAACAAAAAAGAAAACTTATTTTAGCCGACACGTTTCAGCCTCTGATGAACTTTATCAAGGCCAATAGGAGGATTTTTTTATCTTGCAACAAGTATTTATAGACAAAGGTAAAAATATTAAAATATTTAAAATAAAAAAAAACCAAATATTCATTTAATAAAATCCCCAGATTTACCTTGATCATGTCCATCATAGGACGAAACGTGTCAACTAAGATGAGTTTTCTTTTGTCCTCATTTGATGTTGATACACACACACACACACACACACACACACACACGCACACACATATATGCGGCCTCACTATTGCATCGAGCATGAAACAGCCTGCCGCCTCTGAGTGTTGACTTCAATGATCACTTTTATATTTATATTTACGTACGCTCTATCACTGATATTGAGCACGTTATCCCATAAATATAGCAAACCTTAAAACTATATTTCTTCATATATATATGTATATATATTCAGAGTATGTGATTTCGAATGTTGCTCCAATCTTTTCAGGAGTTGTTCTGTGTGTAGTTCTGCATCTTTTTATTTAATTCCGGCGGCGTTCTCGCGTGTGATGGAATCAATTTCAAGTCATTCAAGGTGACCTCAAAGGTCAAAATGTAATTTTTACGTAAGGTATCTTTCTCCGTAGGGGAATGTATATTAATGTGTATTTAACAGAAAAATAGCAGTTGCATATATATATATATATATATATATATATATATATATAATTTTATATTTTACAGGGATTTGCCTCTTGCTGTCTACCTCACATTTGTCGTCGTCATCATCAAGTATATCTTAACAAACATAGCATATTATGTGCTGCTAAATCCTTTGGATGTTGCCAATTCTAAATCAGTTACTTTGGTGAGTATGTTATCCTATAAACAACTTCCAGCTATCACAACAGTTGATATAAAAGCCATTGCTGCCATGTGTAGATAGTATTTCCTATTTTACAACTGTCAAATCGTTTGTTGTTGTTGTTGTTGTTCAGTTGCTAAATCAGAATGATAATTATCAGAACTGATTGTACAGATATTGACTTTTTCTCTTCAGCTTTATTTGAACCAATTTACCTAAACCACGTATTGTAAAAACCTTTTCTCGTTTCAAATCCCACTTTCATTCCAGTTATGATCGAACTCCCAGTCGCATTTGTGTAAATCTTTTTTTAATTTTTTTTTTCAGTGTCAGCTTATTCATCAAGCGGGCACAACATCATTCTATTAGGCTGAGTCGTAAGTCATTTCCGTTTTGGGGAATCAGTTGTAATGACGAATATATCATCTTATCTACTAATGATAAGTGGTAGTTAAGTATAAGTTTGAAGAACTCTAGCTTAACTTAGTTCTTGCATGGCTATGTCAGCGTACATAGTGGATAAAAGGAAAAATGTTGCTCTTCTCCATGATAACACAAGGCCGCTTACAATAGGAACAACACAAAACAAAAGAATGGATCTCGGTTGGTCTTTTCTACTCCGCCTGCAATAGTCACCAGACCTTGCAACAGCCGATTATTACCTTTTTTCGATAGATTTAAAACTATTTAATGGGGAAAACTTTCTCTAATGAAAACTAGATTCAAGTTTGTCGAAAGATTTTTCACATGAAAACTTACGGAATTTCATTCAAAAAATATCGAAGAGCTGCCTGATAAGTGACAACAAGTTATTGTAAATATTGTTGAATAATATATAACTGAATAAAATATAATTGGAATTTAATTTTTTTAAGAAAGTCGATGAACGAAAACGGAAATTATTTATGACTCAACCTAATAGGTAAATATTGTGAGAAGAAAGAATACGTGTGACATTAATCTTTCGGTGGGGTAGTAATGTCGAACTAATATGTTTAACGTTGATTAGCATGACCCTAGATTCTTATGGTTACTAGAGATCTCTTTGGCAATCCGAATTCCGTACCTGGTTGAAACGCGAATTCCTCCGTAAATATGGTATTGTTAAACCTGTTAACAATAGATTCATTTATTAACACTTGACAGAAAGAAAAGGCCCAGCATAGCAGAGATTGTTTGAACAAAATTTGATCGACGAAATTTTTTCATGACCTAAAAACGGATTCCATCTTGGACAATTGCGATCAGATTTTAGCGTTTATTTTATTTTGCTCAAATCTATTGTTCCATTATTATGTCAATTCTGTAAAGTTCTGACTTTTATTTATAGTAGAATTTTACCTTATTCTACAGGTTAATAAAAGTCGATTTAATTAGATCTTATCGCCGAGATCAGAAAATTCTATTGTTGTTGAAGTATTAATTGTTGTGTACTGTTTAAAACAAGGGTCGGCAACCTTTTGCTAACTTTGCCGACGTTTTAAAATCTTTCAGTGTGCCAACAGCATACGCATTTTTATATAAGTCAAGGTCAATATACCTGTTCTACAATATATTTTATATAGTAATATATAGTACATATACTTTAGTATATATTAAAATTGAAACAGTTAAATTTCTTGTTTGCGTTGTAATAGTTATTGGTTCGGACTTCGTGATGTCATTTGCGGCTGTGTGCCATTCAAAAATTGCTTGGCGTGCCACGTATGGCACACGTGCCATAAGTTGCCGATCAATAGACTACATTTTCAAACGTTGTTTCTTGTTGTTGTTGTTGGCAAGCTTTTATTTAAGTATAAACATTTCTTTAGGAAAGGGAATTGGGGAGAATGTTTAGTGGCCTTGTTATCTGAATTAGTTATTTAACCAGCACATTTTTCTTCTGTAATCCAAGTCACCCGAAAGATAGTGGTACCATCATATCTCATTGTAGAAAGGAGATGGAATTTCAAGACATGCGACTTTTTAAAGAAATGTGGTAAAAGATTCATTAGTTTCTTTTTTTAAAATGCAGTACTAGATTGTCAGCTAGGTCCCATGATTTTACAGTTGAAATGGATAGATGTAACCGTAAGTTCTATGCTAATAGTTTCTTCTCTCGCACTTCTTCGCTTGTGTAACTCTCTGCCGGTCTCTTGCTTTCCTATCAACTTTGATCTTCATAAGTTTAAATACAACATCACTCGTCACTTTATGTCCTAGCGTACCTAGACTTTTTGAATTCAAGCGCAGCACTAGACCGGCGGCGAGATCTCACCAATTTACCGTTGACCTGCCTAGATATAACCGTATATTCTATGCTAACAGTTTCTTTTCTCGCAGTTCTCTCTTATAGAATTCCCTTCTGGTTCCATGCTTTCCAGCCAATTTTAATCTGGAAAAATTTGACTGCAATGTCAATTGCTATCTACTGCTCTGCAGATTGCTCTTTCCTCTTCCTGTTCATTATTAATGTTTCTTTTCCTAATTCTTTCTTGCCCCGTAACCCCTTTTGTCTTTACTGCCTTGAATGGGGTGATACTGATTTAAAAAATAGTGGTATTTTATCGTAAAAGTTTAATTAAATTGAATATTTCTCTCGTGTAACGTGTTTGTCTACTTTTGTAACTTTAAATCCCTGTTTACTTTGCAAATATTTATATTATGTACAGAAGTGGTATAATTACAAGACACGCCAGGTTTTTTTTTATTTATTTTTAGTTTGAATTTTTTTCGCCTGTTTCCTTGTCTTCGAAGTAAAATAAACAGCGTTGGCTTTTCAACTTAATCTAACTACAGTTGATTTACTTTTGACCGTACAAAGTGAAACTAAAATCTGGAGACGGGGGTGGGATGTGGACAAAAAACAAAACGTTAAAATCGTTATCGATCGAAAGATAAATGAATGTTCATGATTAGTGCACAATTCTCAACTTTTATCTGCCTGTGTACATTACGCATGCGTTAGAATTTACTCGTACATGAAAACATTTTCTTCATTCGCACAATCATTATCCCCAATTGTCCTGATCTATCATAACTGATTTGAATTCTGCCAGATTTTCGCCACCATTTAATTTACCTAAGTTTATCTGGAAACAGTTTGCAGCTTCTGTTCTTTCGTCCTGTAGATGGTTGTCATAAAATGAGTTTTTGATGCGATTTCTTTCGGATGGCCTAAGCAATGCCCACCAAACTTCATCCTTCTGAATGCTTTCTTTATCGACACTTTAGCGACTTTTCTGCAGTGTTCTTTCATTTGGTAATCAAGTGCGTATTAAGTGCATTCTATCGCTCCAGGAATTATCCGTCCGTGCGTATCAAGTTCGTATCATTCTAGTGTAATATCCATCTAGCCTCTTGCTGAAGGTTTCGTCGGTGATCCATTTCGCGCTTGCATACAGAGATGAAAACGGTCATTAATTAGTTTATTTATTAAATTTTGTTTGACATGTCATTAGTTAGTTGCATTTCTGCTTATATTTATCGTCACGGATTTTAAAGAAATTAATCTTTTCACGCAAAATCTTGGTTTTGCAAACTGGTCGTTTGATAGACTCAGTGTTTCTTTTTGCAAAAACATTACACACTTAAGCTGAACATTTCTTACTATATAATACGCTAACTTTTTTTTGTAATATCTGTAACTTGTTATTTTACTCGAATTGGAATAATGATCCGTTCATTCTATCGCTCCAGGAATTATCCGTTCATTCTATCGCTCCAGGAATTATCCGTCCATTCTATGGCTCCAAGAATTATCCATTCACTCTATCGCTCCAGGAATTATCCGTTCATTCTATCACTCGAGGAATTATCCGTCCATTCTATCGCCTCAGGAATTATTCATCCATTCTATCGCTCCAGGAATTATCCGTTCATACTGTCGCTCCAGGAATAATCCGTCCATTCTATTGCTCCAGGAATTATCCATTTACTCTATCGCACCAGGAATTATCCGTTCATTCTATCGCTCCGGGAATTATCCGTCCATTCCGTCGCTCGAGGAATTATCCGTTCATTCTATGGCTCCAGGAATTATCCGTTCATTCTATCGCTCCAAGAATTATCCGTTCATTCTATCGCTCCAAGAATTATCTGTTTATTCTATCGCTCCTGGAATTATCCGTCCATTCTATGGCTCCAGGAATTATCCGTTCATTTTAGCGCTCCAGGAATTATCCGTCCATTCTGTTGCTCGAGGAATTATCCGTCTATTCTATCGCTCCAGGAATTATCCGTCCATTCTATGGCTCCAGGAATTATCCGTTCATTTTAGCGCTCCAGGAATTATCCATTTACTCTATCGCTCCAGGAATTATCCGTTCATTCTATCACTCGAGGAATTATCCGTCCATTCTATCGCCTCAGGAATTATTCATCCATTCTATCGCTCCAGGAATTATCCGTTCATTCTATCGCTCCGGGAATTATCCGTCCATTCCGTCGCTCCAGGAATTATCCGCCCATTCTATGGCTCCAGGAATTATCCGTTCATTCTATCGCTCCAAGAATTATCCGTCCATTCTATCGCTCCAAGAATTATCCGTCCATTCTATGGCTCCAAGAATTATCCGTCCATTCTATCGCTCCAGGAATTATCCGTCCATCCTGTTGCTCCAGGAATTATCCGTCTATCCTATCGCTCCAGGAATTATCCGACTCCTTTTGCCATGCTTCATCTTTACAGGAATAAGATGAGAACGAAAATGAGGTATTACTCGCATATCTGCCCTGAAGCGGCTCAAACCTCATTTTTTAACCTTGATAGAGGAGTGGGGGAAACTTATTTTCCTCTCTGCAGTCACTTTCCCACAGATAAGACGTCGTAACTCTTTCGGTATTTCCATGGTAAATGTTCAGATGAGACCCATTATTTAGTTCCATCAATTAAGACCTTTACAGCTCGGACACGATAGGCTACTTCTACGGAGCTAAATCACTCTCATTTCGGCAGTATTACAATTTTAATGAGAAAGTTCCACTCAGCTTTTTCCCAAGAAGAGCTTCTTTGTGGAATCGTACTTTTTGTCAGCATCTGTCTATATTTCTGAGATGTGGTATTGTGATTATGTCTACTATTGTGGATACTTCTTCTATTAAACACAATAATTTTAACTTTTTCAAGTTAAATGTCAGTCATTATCTACCTTATCGTCATAATCTTCACTTATTACCATCTCCTTTTGCATTCATATCACACACCTCATTCAGTAGCGCTCTACATTGAGTGTCTCTTGAGTCTTGTAATGGGTGAACATTAGTATCAAAATTTAACTTCCTTGTACTGGCAATTAATAGTAAGGACTTAAAATGTGGGGTCAGTTTTGAAGACAGGTAAGGTAAAAAAATGATTTCAAGGATGAAAACTCATTGGATCAGATCAGTTCCAGAAACTTCGCACTCCTTGGAGGAACCTTCCTTGATTGAACATGTCTTCAGAGGTGTCGTCGTACCCACCATGCTTGGCCAATTACGGGCTGATGAGGCTATTCAACCTATACTTGGAGGTTTTGAATTCAAAGTTGTCCTTCTTCTAGACCGGTTGCCACCCAAGACCACTCTGTCCTGTTATATACTCATAGCAAGAAGGAGAAAAGATGGATTCATGCCTTTTCTAAGTGTATTTGAACGTAAGTGAATGTATAGGAATCGACTAAAATTCGAACTCAGCTCTCCGATTCTTCAATCCGAGTCACTAACCATTACTCCACCGAGCCTCCAATGCTACTGAATCCACGAGGGTAGATTGTTCATCCACTGTCTGTGCTAAGGGGATGTCTCTTATCATATCATGCGTTCAATGCCGTGTCCCTTCAGGACGTGGACGATCATAGCTCTCCACAATTTCCTGTCGTTTGTAGTTCTTAGTAAAGTTTGTCGTTTTACTATCTGTCTTCTTCTGCCAACCATTTACACAATCTCGTTAGGTATATTATACGACGTTTTCCTCTGTGCATTCAATATGTCTTGTGAGTATCAAATTTTCCAAGCCTTCTTTTCTTGTTATGTGCCTTAGAAATGTCATCTGTCTCTTTCTGATGCTACGTATAAATTCCCGTTTTGTTTCAATTTTCTCTAAAACTTCGTCATTTTTCACATGTTTAGTCCATAATATCCTCAGCATCCTCCTGTAGAACCATACTTCTGTTACTTCAAGTCTCTCCTTTATCTCTGATGAGATGATTCCGCTTATACTGTCATATAGGAGGACTGATATTACATAACAGTTCAGTACTATTTCCTTTGTTTCTAACGATTTTTTCTGTTTCTTAATACTTTCCTTAGCTTTAGGAAGGCATCTTTTGCTATACCAATATAGCTTTTGCTATATTTTGGTGTCGCATTCTTTCGTCCTCTATGAAAACACTTTCTAGATTTAGTTTTGTACTTGCTTGATTTTGGTATCCCCAGTTTGCAATTCGCATGTTGGGCTGATAACCATACATTCTGTCAACAACTGTCTATATTTCTGAGATGAGGTATTGTGACTATTTACACTATTTACTTCGTTTGGACTGTTGTCCTCATCTTTATTGCCATGTTCACGACGTTCCAGTCATTATACATTCCGGCCTTCTTCAGGTGATATACATTGGAATTTCGAACTGAACCCTGTATTTAGTCCACGGGGTATATTATTCTAATTCCACGTGCCATGCATATATATATATATATATATATATATATATATATATATATATATATATATATATATATATATATATATATATCAGTTTCAGTTAATTCCGTTTAGTAACTCAACACTTCAAGTTTTTGTTCATCTCTGCTGTTGCCGGGTATTGAACTCTTAACTCTTTGGTTCACTCAACCAACGCTTTTATCCACTGGGCTATATATTCTTGGGGACGGTTAGAAATTCCAATGTATATCACATGAAGAAGGCCAGAGCGTACAACGGCCGAAACGTCGTGAATAGGTAATAAAGATAAGGACAAGAGTATAAACGATGCAAATATTCTAAATAGATACATTCTGTCTTTTTACAATTAATGTTTAATCCTTCTCGCTTTCCTTCACTACTTTCTGTAGGAATTCTTGTAGTTTCCTTTCTGTGTCTGCTACCAACACTGTGTCATCAGCATATCTAATGTTAAAATTGTGACCGGCCAATAATGAATCGTTGCTTCACTGTAAAGTTTGAATTGATCTGGCGAGAAGAGACATCCTTGTCTCAGACCACTTCTCCATTAGCATAGACAACTGATATCAGCCTATCGTTTTGAATAATAATGATAATTATTCATCTGAGAAATTCAATGAGATATTTTTCTTTCTTGAAACAGGATTTCATCCAACGCTTGTATTCACCAATTGGTCCTCTGGTCGCAGTTTTTGTGGCGCTTGCTTCAATCGGAGCACTGAATGCTTCAGTTATGGGACACCCAAGGTAAGTCATTTGTCTTTGAAAGTCTTTATAACAATGTTATCAGATACTGGGAGTGCCAAAGATGCCTTCCAAAAGCTAAGCAGAATATTAAGAAACAGAAAATTTTCGTTAGAAACAAAGAAAAAAGTACTGGATTGTTACGTGATATCTGTACTCATGTATAGCAGAGAATGCTGGATAATCTCCTCAAAGATGAATAGACTTGGAGCAACAGAAATGTGTTTCTACAGAAAGATGCTGAGGATAACATAGCCCGAACATGTGAGCAACAACGAAGTTTTGGAGAAAATGGAAACAAAAAATGAAACAATAAAAGAAACTTATACTTAACATCGGGAAGAGGCAGTTGAAATTTATGGTGTACCTAATGAGGAGGAAGGGCTTGGAAAACCTGATACTCACAGGACAGATTGAGTGAAAGTGGAACAGAGGAGAGCAGCGCGTAACGTACTTGATTTGGGTGAAAAAACAAAAAGACAAAAGTTATTAAGAGCTACAAGGGACAGGAAGATGTGCGACTCCATGTAAAAACTAAATATTGGGTTATTCTGTTCGCTCATGTGCTTCCGTCCTTTCAGGACAAAGGCAATCATGGCTCTCCATAACTTCCTATCTAGTGCTCTTATTAGTTTTTCTCTCTTTGCTAAGCCACTCCAACGTTTTGACATTCATTCACACAGGTAAATTGCCCGCTACCTTCCTCTATCTCACTTGACCTCAATATACCCCGTGAGGGTGAAATTTTAAAACCTCTACTTCCTCATCCTGTGTACAAAGAATTGCAGTTGTCTTTTCCTGTTTCTGAGTATGTGTTCATTCTGTTGCCATTTTCTTTAAGACTTTCTTGTTGTTTACTCGCTCCGTTCATGTAATTTTCAGTTTCCTTCTGTAGAACCACATTTCTGCTGTTTCTAGTTTCTTCTCATCTTTGTAGATATTGTCCAACATTCATTGCCATATAAGAGGACGGATAGAGTATAGCAATCCAACACTTTTTCCTTTGTTTCTAACGAAAAATTTCCATTTCTCAGCACCTTGCTTAACTTTTGGAATACCTCTTTTACAATGCAAGTTCGGATCTCAGTGTCATATTTTCCATCCTCTGTTAAAATAAGATATTTGAACTTCTGCACCTGCTTGATCTTTATATATACAATTCGTAAATCATATCTCGAGCGTTTTCTTTTGCTGATGACCGTAATTTCTGTCTTCTGGCAGTTGATGTTTAGTGCTTTTTTCCTCGCTTTCTTCTACCACCCTGTCTATGAGCTCCCGTTGTTTCCTTTCCAAATCTGCCATCAGCACCGCATATCTTATGTTGTTAAGATTAAGTCCGACGCTAATAAATCCTGGTGGGGTCTCCAGTTTCCTTAGGATGGCGTCGCTCTCGAAGTTGAATAAATCTGGAGAGAAGACACATCCCTCTCTTACGCACCTTTCTATTTTTTGTATAACTCCTCAATTTATTTTCTATTCGTATGCGAGCGGTTTGCTTCCAGTGTAAGTTCTGGATTATTTTAATATCGTTTGCAAATATATTTAGTTTTCCCATCAGTTCAAATAGATCTTTGTGCCGTACCTTGTCAAAAATGTCATCACGATATTGTTCGTAATTTTTAATTTTTTTACTATGAAAATGCATTGCTGGTAATTTTTTCTAATGTATTTATTTTATATTTTCATGTTTTGCCACCAGTTTTTTTTTTTTTGGGGGTTCACTATTTACCCATAGCTGGGACCCACGCCGGGTTATCGTGGACCTGGGAACAACAGCATTTAAGAGGTGGTTCCACGCTCCTCAAAACTTTCCGTTCAGAGGCCTTGCTTCCGTCCTCTATTTTAAATTCAGTGTATTTCTTCTCCTAGATTCGTTACTACTCAAATCTAATCTATTCAGCTATTTAACCCATAAATCAGGGGAGAATAAATTCATGGTTTTTCCAAGCACATTTGTGCGAAAGTAAGCGCAAATTTTAATTTATATAAACTTTAATAATTTATAAATTTAATTTACATTTTTAACTACTGCGTTCCGTGCGTTGATCCTCATTGCGTAGTCACGTAGTTACAGTTAATATATTCGGTCGGAGGTTTGATATAACTTTGTTGATTTTTAGTAGAACTGTTCTTTAGATTGTGAGTGGACCATTATATATGTATAAAATAATGGCTATGTAATTGTAATGCGTAAAATATTTATGTTTATCATGTAAACGAATGCTATCTTCACTAACCTGTCAGAATTATCTGCGATTTCTAAATTTAAACAGCCCCACCCAGATCAGAAGACTAGAATTAGTCATGCTATACAAGGAAAAAGAAATCTGAAAGCAGATATCACTGTAAATCGATAATGATAATGAAAATAGCGCTTCGTCAATACATAGGATGTAGACCAGCGTATTTATTTTTCGGAGAAAATCTTTGTAATTACAAAGCTCAATATCAAGAGATAGAACATTAGTAGTCATAAAAAAACGTAAATCTTCACTTATCTTGTTTCAACAAGTTTGGAGAAAATTAAATTCATTCGTCGGGAGACTAGATTGTAAAAAATTTACAATTAAATTTCCTGAGGAGTGGATGTAATGTCTGCGAAACTCAAAGTAGAGACAAGTGAACATTTAATTCTATTTATTACTATATATATATATATATATATATATATATATATATACAGTGTAACCCGGATATAAGAGACCCAGATATAAAAGAAACCCGGATATAAGAGAGATATTATCTGGTCCCAAATTAGAGCCTGTGTTAATGTATATAAAATAGACCAAACCCGGATATAAGAGAAACCCGGATATAAGAGACTTCTTCTCCGGTCCCGACAACTCTTTTATATCCGGGTTACACTGTATATATATATATATATATATATATATATATAAACGTGGACACTGAGGTCAACACCGAGCGGTGATAGAGTGTTTCGTGTTTGAACGCAATATTCACTGACGATTACATTCATGCATGAAGCAGACTGGTGTTAACCTCAGTGTTCATTTTTTGAATTTATAAATTCTCTATTCATGATATTGAACACTTTTAACCATAAATATAACATACCTTAAAACTAATATATATATATATATATATATATATATATATATATATGTGTGTGTATTTCTCTTAAGAAAGAGAAAGAACGGATGGAGTTAGAATCCAGAGCTCTTAGGATTTACTTTTTTTTTCTTTTAAAAATGCTCAATATAAACGCAGAGCAAAATATAATATTATTAAAATATTTTTTTTTATTATAACAGATTAAAATAAAAACATTTTTTACATCGCTACACAAAAACTTTCATGTTTCGGAACTTACTTTAATGATTCCTAATTGGGCGATTGTAGATAACATAATACAAAAGTTAAAAAGCGAGAGTCTAATATCAGAATTAAAACATATATTTGTGGGTATGTCTGGATTAATTAATTAAAAGTCAGTTCTATGCTAAAATAGAAAAATGAAAAATAATGTCAGAGTGTGGAGGAAGGTGGGTTATAAATTCATGTCTTGATAAATTGATACACTAGACATGTCAGCGTCGAACATAATGTAGCGAAATCCAACGTTCAGATTTGGTGAAATTAACATAGAGTAACCTTGAATAAAAAAAAATATTATTTTTAAGAGTTTTCCAAAAAGTTTTATGCTACGGAAACTTCTTAAAGGAACCGAATAAATAAAGTTAAAAGAAATTTTTTGTGGAACTTTAAAATATGATGCTAAAGTATATTGAATGGGGTGTAAAAACAGGGCAATATTAAAGTTGAAAAAAAATCAATAAAAATTGTGTGGGCTATTATATACGTATAAAATAATGGCTATGTAATTGTAAAGCGTAAAATATTTATGAAGAGTACTCTCTAAAGAACATTCCTGGCCCAAACGGGGTTATTTCGTTAAACTTGTTCATAAAACGGAGGATTTAATTAGAAGAATAAGATGAAAGCCTCATTTCTTCCTTTATAATTATAATTCTCCCGAAGAACCTGAAATATTTGGCTTTAAAATCTTAAAAGCTGCATCATTCATCAAACGGTTATATGGCTTTGAAAATGATTTATTGGAAATATTTAATAGTATCTCTTTTCACAAACGTAAAAATAATTTTCAGAGACACCTCGACCTGGTTGTAATAGATATAAATTCATTTGATAAAGTGTTTGTAAAGTCTGAAAAAACAGCTAATTTCTATAAAATCACTACGAAGGATTATAATACTCTAATTAAAAAAAAATTATTTATTCGGTCCATTTAAGAAGTTTCCGTAGCATAAAAAATTTTCAGAAAAATTCTTAAAAATATTTTTTTTTTATTCAAGGTTACTCTATGTCTATTTCACCAAATCTGAATGTTGGATTTCGCTACATTATGTTCGACGCTGACATGTCTAGAGTATCAATTTATCAAGACATGAATTTATAACCCACCTTCCTCCACACTCTGACCTTAATGTTCATTTTTAGTATAGATCTGACTTTTAATTAGTTAATCTAGACATACCCACAAATATGCTTTAATTCCGTTATTAGGCCCTCGCTTTTTAATTTTCAAAAGAGGTAACAATTTGTTTTCAAATCAAATAAATCATTTGCATTATGTTATCTACCATCGCCCGATGAGGAATCATCAAAGTAAGTTCCGAAACATGAAAGTTTTTGTGTAGCGATGTAAAAATGTTTTGTTATCTATTATAATGAAAATGTCATTATATATATATATATATATATATATATATATATATATATATATATATATATATATATAATGAACATTGAAGTCAACACTCAGAGGCGACAGGCTGTTTCATGCTATACGCAATCGTCAGCCTGTCGCCACTGTGTTGACTTCAATTTTCACTAAATTTATATTTACATACGCTCTATCTCTGATATTGAGCACTTTATCCCATAAATATAGCAGACTTTAAGACCATATTTCTGCATATATATATATATATATATATATATATATATATATGTATATATATATATATACTAAAATTTGTTTTTAGTTTATTTTTTCCGAGTACTTTCAGAATGTTCTGCATTCTTTTTCAAGGATTTTCTTATGTCCTTTGGGAGATTGTATCACCAACAATAACAATCAACAAAGAACATTCAATTATTTCATTGGCCACACCTGCATCGCACTCTCTCGTAGGTTGGCCGTTTAAATGATCTCATCTCCAGTGGCTTGAAATTGGTTCCAACAAAAGTGGGAACGCCGGAATTAGCCAAAAACAGTTGCATTAACACATATAAAGAGAAATCCTCGAAAGTTCTCGGAAAAAATAAAATAAAAATAAACATGGTTTTAATAAATTTAATGATTATATAAAACAACCAATTCGGAAATTTGAAAATGTTAATATGCATATATACATATTAACTTTTTCAATATATATATATATATATGATAAAATATAGTTTTAACGTATGCTATATTTATGGGTTAATGTACTCAATATCAGAGCGTATGTAAATATAAAAGTGGACATTGAAGTCAACACCCAGATGATGACCTGATGAGCATAAAACAGACTGAGTGCTGACTTCAATGTTCATTTTTATGTTTATATATATATATATATATATATATATATATATATATATATAGTTTATGCAAAACTAGGTAATCTGTATGGGTAGACCCAAGGAGGATGATATCCAGAGAGCTCAATGTAAATTTAGAGCAAATATGTTTGAATAAAAACAGACCACTTTAAGGTTCCACGTAATATTTAAAGTGCTCTGGATTATCAGACTTTACTTCCAAAAGTTGAAAGGAAAAATGAAAAGAAACACATTTTTGACGGACCGCACCAAGCATATGGAAGTAAAGTCTGATGATCCAGAGCCCTTTAAAAGGGTTCTGGTGAAATAACTTATTACATGGAACCTTAAAGTGTTCTGTTTTTATTCATATATATATATATATATATATATATATATATATATATATATATGTGTGTGTGTGTGCATGTATGATGAAAATAATGTTTTAAAGCACGAGGGAGAGTTAAAACAGAGGAAGAGAGCGAGAGTAAAGATATGTAAATAAACAGAGAAAGGGTTATATAAAGAGATACAGAATATAATATGTTTGCTGTTGTATGGTAATCCTATAGACACGCTAGTGGAGCCAAACAAGCCACGTGACAAAACTCATCATCTGATGAATAGAGCACGCAGCAGAATCAGGCCAGAGATAGGACGAGAAGAGTGCGGGTTCGTTAAAAACAGCAAGCAGCATGAATGCGCATAGAGAACGACTTCAACGAATATACAAAAATAGAAGTGGGTGTAAAGCAAGGATGCGTTTTCTCACCCGAAATGTTCACCCTATACAGCGAGGCAATTCGGGGAGAATTGGAGACCCTACCTTTAGCATTGGCGGCCATAATCTTAACAACATAAAATACGCAGATGACGCAGTACTGATAACAGACACGGAAAGAAATTACAAAATCTCCTACAGAAGGTAGCGACGGAGAGTGGGAAGAAGGGGTTAGCCATAAACTACAAGAAAACAGTCATCAGTGAAAGGATGAGCCCGAAATGCGGTTTGCAGGTCGGAAACATTAGAATCAAGCAGACTCGGCAGTTTAAATATCTGGGAAGCGCTCTAACAGAGGACGGTAAATGCGATACTGAGACCCGTAGACATATTGGGATGGCCAATGACGCATTCCAAAAGCTGGGCAGAGTATTGCGAGACAGGAGGATTTCTTTGGTAAGGAAGAAAAGAATACTGAGCTGTTATGTGACATCTGTCCTTTATGGCAACGAATGTTGGACGATTTTCTCAAAGATGAAGAAGAGATGTGAGGCAACGAAGATGTGGTTCTACAGAAGGATGCTAAGGATATCATGGACCGAGCGTGTGCGTAACAATGGGGTCTTAGGATGCAAACAAGGAAGAGGCTTATACGTAACATCAAGAAGAGGCAGCTGAAGTTCCTGGGACACATAATGAAGAAGGAGGGCTTGGAGAATCTGATACTCACGGGTCGAATAGAGGAAAAGAGAGTGAAAACAACGCATGACATACCTGGCTGGCTTAAGCAAGTGAATGACAGAACATGGTCTGGGGGAGGTGGCAGAGGGAAGGAACTTGTTGAGAGCTGCAAGGGATAGAGGGAGGTGGAGAGCCATGATAGCCTACGTCCTTAAAGGACACGACACATAGAAAGAAAGGAAGAGTGAAGTTCAGTTCTACACTTTCACTATCCTAGGGTTTTGCTGCTGTGGTTTCTGTAGCAAGTTGGCTTTTATAAGGTAGAGTTACTCGCCCTGCACCCAACTGATTTTGATTTCAAAGTTGTTCTTCCCTTTAGAGTTGTTGTCACCCAGCTCAGGTGACCTAAGTCTGCCATCGCGGGAGGGACAGGGAAAAAGTAGATTCATATCTTTCCTAAAAATATTTGTGAAGAACATAATAGGTATGTGTAAAAGTTCTCAACTCTCCTTTTCGTAAACTAGAAACTAAATAGAGACTTGAGAAACGGTTTTTTGTTAGCTTTTTGTATTTCACCTCACTTTATCTACATTAGATTACAAAAGTTGTCAGGCGAAATAGAATATTATTCAATTTAATTCGAAAACCGGATAAGGAAAACCTGACCATGAATATAGATTAGATAAAATAAGGAAACGTTCACAGAACAGCTAACATCAGGGCGTACAAAAAAAATGGCTGAGTCATGTATCCTGTTGCAATTTCATTAGCGCATTCGTTTTTTATCTATGGTAGAAAATTTGACCTGTATACAGAGGGTAGGGAGTACTACTACTACTACTACTTGATAATAATGATAATAATAAAAATAATAATATTGATAAACAAAAAACAAAATGATTGACGTAACTTATTCAAATTTTTGCAGCACTTCGGTAAGAGCGCCATTTAAGCAAAGAAAAAAAAAAGAGAAAAAAACACAATGTTTATTTAACCGTTGTAAATAATCTATATATAAAATTATTTGACTTCCGTTAGTCCGTCAGCCGCAACCTTTAAAATAGTCAGCCAATTTTGGGGAGAAGTGCAAACAAATAAGGGGTTAAAACGTACAGTTGCTTTTATTAGGGTACGTAGCTTAATACAATAAATTTTCATTAATTATTTTGAAAAATGTTATTATTTAACATAAAAAAATACTCCCACTATTTAAAACAATTTAATGATTAAAATAACAAATACTTATTTAATAAAAATGCAATATTGTTTTTTGCGTATCTTTTCTTTAAGTTTTTATATATACAAGAATCTAATTTTCAATTCGCCCTGCGTTTGCGAGAACTATAAACAAATGACAAGGCCAAACGCTTCAGAAGATAGCATTTGGCTCCAGAAAGAAATATTTATTTATGGCCAGTCGTATGCTACATGTTCAAAAGTAAGAAATCCTAAGAATTTATTCTTCACTGTTAAAAAAATTATTTTATATTATGTCCAACAAAATTCAAGTCTTTCTAAATCGGTTTATTCCTATCTATCTATCTATCTATCTATCTATCTATCTATCTATTCAAATCTGTTTCTATCTATCTATCTATCTATCTATCTATCTATCTATCTATCTATCTATTCAAATCTGTTTGTTCCTATCTATCTATCTATCTATCTATCTATCTATTCAAATCTGTTTATATCTATCTATCTATTGAAATCTGTTTATATCTATCTATTCAAATCTGTTTGTTCTTATCTATCTATCTATCTATCTATTCAAATCAGTTTATTCCTATCTATCTATCTATCTATCTATCTATCTATCTATCTATCTATTCAAATCAGTTTATTCCTATCTATCTATCTATCTATCTACATAAATGATAGTGTTTTAGTTGATCTTCTTCACGAAGATCGCTGAAAACTGCTGTACATTCTGACGTTGCAATCATTCGCAAAGTAATTTTATTATTAAACTTTATTGGTGTATAAATTGATTTACTCACATTATTACTACCCACACGTCAAACTGGATGATGATTTAGTGGATATCAATATTTTTCAAGGGTTGTTGTCTCTTTGTTGTCGTGAGTTCAATCAATGAAACAAAAAGTAAAATTCATGTACAGGTGAATTGAGTAAAAAAACAAAAACAAAAGCAGCGTCTCTGGCATGAAATGACGCAAGAAAAAATTATATAGAATCTAATTTTGAATGGACAGTAAATAAAAGCATTGCAACCACCCACGCCAGGTCAACTCGTTTTGCTTGTCTATTATAAAAAAAACTACCGTTGTCTAATATTGACAGAGTTTCGTGGTTCTCCAATCCCCTGTCCATATGTCAGCTGTTAATATTCCAGAATTAGCGGAAAAAGATTTTGAAAAATTCCGATTTCAATAAAACTACAACAGGATATAGATACAAGACAAATTTTCTTATAAAATGAATGAATAAATTTGTGAACTTTTCCGGGTTCATTCAGTCATTTTACGAGAGGGAAAATAAAGAAGAGTTTCCAATATACCATTCAAAGTTAAAACTCTTTTCTACTCATTCTAATATAAAACGTGAACTTCTTTTTAATTACGTGTTTTTCTTTCTTTCTTTCTTTCTTTCTTTCTTTCTTTCTTTCTTTCTTTCTATTCCACACATAGAACGTCAAGTCACATTCCTTTCAAGTGAACAATACAAATGTTCTATTGGAGATTTTTCGTTTTGAAAGCAACCAACAATGGTTGTAATTACAGTGAACATAAGAATAATTTCGGCAAGTTATATATGTGTGTGTATGAGTGTGCGTGTATGAAAAAGGGGTAAAGTCTTTTCGTGTGACGCGTTTCGTCAGGATTTACATTTTTTCTCCCAGACTGTTCTTCATACATAAAACATTATGTATCTTTATCCCATAAATATATATTTTATAGGGCTAAAACAGGGGTTTATGGGATAACAATAAACACACACACACATACACATATATATATATATATATATATATATATATATATATATATATATATATATATATATATATATGTATTTATTGCTATTGTTATATATATGCTGGTGCTAAATCTAAAACTTACAGCTTATCCAGATGTTAAAAGCGGGGAGAGAGCTATATATTCATATTTTCAAAGATTCCTGATTATATATATATATATATATATATAAGTACCATGAATTTCTAAATGACGAAACACGTGAGACGAAATAATTTTACACTTTGTCATATATATATATATATATATATATATATGAAGAAAAATATATACAAAAAAAACAAAACAAAACAAAAATCCTTATATACAATTATGCTGTTTTAATGTTAATATGTCAACGTCGGACGTTTCGGTCTAATAAACCATCTTCAGGACATATTCATACAGAAGATGGTTTATTAGACCGAAACGTCCGACATTGACATATTAACATTAAAACAGCATAATTGTATATAAGGATTTTTTTCTCCGTATATATTTTTCTTCATACTGTCGGATCTCTATATATATATTTGTGTGTGTGTGTGTGTGTATGACAAAGTGGTAAAAATGGTTGCCGAGCAGTTGAAGCACGCTGTGTCACCCGGTGGTACCACACGCAACACACATGGCCTGAAGATTGTGTTCGGGCATGAAACAGACTATAGCTGCTTGGTGTCTACATTTATATTTACATAAGCTCTATCTCTGATATTGAGCACCATACGTATAGCATACATTAAAACTATATTTTTATCACACACACAAACACACATACATACATACACACAGACACACATATATAGTTGTAGAGTGGATAAATGAAACAGCCAAATATAAGCAGGCGTGTACGCGTGTGCTGGTGTGCATACGCAGGTAAGCAAATAAATAATCGTTAAATTTATGCATGAGGTGTAAAGGTCATAGGGTTCAATGTGGTTATACAGAGCAAAGATATGTATTAATTAGTACATAAACGCGTACCTACGTTTTTTTAAAAAATTTTTCTAAGAAATCTAAACCACCAGCATCGCATTTAGTACTCTGCTGTGCAACTTTATTTTTTATACCCTACGTAGCAAAGAAACTCCCATGAGCCATTTGTTTACTACCGGCAACATAGGATCCGTGCCTAATGAACTGGGAACACCACCCAGCGAAACTATAGTTGCACGCCAAAAACGTAGGTACACGTATATTTTCTAATATATATATATATATATATATATATATATATATATAAAGAAAGAACAGTAAGATATATAATCCGGTGTTCTTATAGATATTTTTATTTTTACAAAATAGTGCTCAATGTACATTTACAGAGCATTAATGAAACTATATATTACTAAGTTTATATATATATATAAAATAAATAAATAAATAAAGTTTACTAAATCAGAGAAATGAATTAGCTATTTTTGCCGTAAGTGCCATAAATTTTACTTAAATAATATTTAAATATAAAATTTTAAAAATCGTAATATACATATACTTGATATGGAAAAATAATTTTACTTACTGTAAGTAATTCTAATGCATTTACTTCTATTAAAAGAAATATAGTCTATTAAAACTAACAATGAAAATATTTTAAAGTTCTAATTAAAATTGTAGTTAAATAAAATGAATTCTAACCTAAACTTCTTTTAAATTGTAATTAAATAAAACGTTTTCTAACCTAAAGACCTCCCTCTTAGTACTACACGCAATTAAAAGAATCCAATAAAACACCTACAGTAAAATGAAATTAATATGAAAAGCTAGAAGATGTAAGCCATTGAATGACCCATGTCCTTTGAACTTACATGAGAAACAATATATTACTAGGTTTATATAAAAAATAATAGTTTACTAAATCAGTGAAATTAAGTAGCTATTTTTGCCGTCATTGTCATAAATTTTACTTAAATAATATTTAAATATAAAGAAAAATTGTAACTTAATAATATACATACTTATACTTGATGTGAAAATAATTCTACATACTGTAAGGGATTCTAATTACATTTAATTGTTCTTAAAAGAAATATAGTATATTAAAAATTAAAATATTTCAAATCGTAGTTAAATAAAACGTATTCTAACCTAACTCCCCCCCCCAATCTTTAAATATACAAATAGAAAGAAATGCCGTAAGAATTTTTGCCGTTAACAATAAAATTAAAAAAAATCTAGACGACATGCATTTAACGGATGTTAGATTTCATTGAAAAATACATCCCTACCCCCTACCAAAACGTAACTAATAACGGATACATCAAAATACAGACATAATGAACAAGCAGACCCCCCTTGTCTAGTGGAAGTGGATTTATCTGTAACCTTGGAAACGTGAATTATGATTTTAGCTGTGTCTTTAAAATCTAGTAATTTTAAAAGTTACTCCAAAAATCGCTTGAGGATGAAATGGAACTAATGTCTTTAATTTAATTACAAAATTAAATTCGGGGCTTTTAGCTTCCATTTTTGAAACATGGTTAGAACTGTGTAGCGATAAGAACCATATTTTAAATCAATTAATTTATATATATATATATATATATATATATATATATATATATATATATATATATATATATATATATATATATATATATATATATATATATATATATATACACACACACGCTGTCGAGTGGTTAGCATGTTCGCATTCTGACCATGAGACCCAAGTTCGAATCTCACTATGGTCGATTTCTCAGGCAGGTGACTTCCAGATGTTCCAGATTGACTGGAGGGTTCGATTCCAGTTTGCGGCAACATTGGAAATGTTGACCCAAGCCTTGTGGGTGCTGGCTTAGTTCAAATTTGATCACACTAGATAACATGCGCTTTCACAGAAACTAAATTCTGCTCAGCATAGTTGCAGTATAAACCACTGTAGGTGGGCTCTGTGGGTGTTGAATAAACACAAATGTGTCTGAGCAAGCGTCTGCATTAGGGATTGGCTAGACTCGAATACGAGTGGCCATAAGAGTGATATATATATATATATGTGTGTGTGTGTGTGTGTCTGTTTGTACATACGTTTCACACCTTTTCAAGTCGTCTGAAGATCTCAGGAGCGTGAAACTCGACTACGACTAGAGCCATTCCTTTAATAGGAAAGTTAGTTTTGCTCGTTCACTTTACTGAGTAGGTGAGTTTGCTTTTAAGCCTTTCTTTCTCTTTTTTTTTCTCAGTATTGTCGGTTTTATTCGAGACTATATCTAGATAAGATTTTTAGTTTTGGTCAAGTTAACCGTTTGTTCCAAGGTCGATTTTACTCGTTTATAGACAGTAAAATTGACCTTGCTAACCGAACGCTCCTCTGTGGCCAAATCGGTTAAAGGCACGTCAGGGTATATGACAGTTCCGTATAGGATACAGGTTCGATCCCTGTTGGAGGACGAATATTTTCTATGAAAATTTCTCGGACATTCAGGCCGGTAAATGTTGTTTAATACTATTTATTATAAACAGAGCATTTACTTAAATATTTGTATCTATAAAAAGAATGTATAAACATAAAAAATGTCTTAAAATATATATATATATCAGATAAATAACAAGACGAGTGTCCTTATATATATATAGAGAGCGAGAGAGAGAAAGAAAGAGCAGGCTAGTCGTATTGTTATTTATCTTATATATATATATATATATATTTCCGAGATCATTCATGAATTTTTTATTGGAATATAATATGCAAGTGTTTTATATACACGAATTGATATAAGAATGTGTATTGAAAACAAATACTGAATTTCCTATTAAAAATGCAGTAAAATTCTCACTTGCCCGTCTTGATAGAGTTCAAAAGTATCCACATTCTCTTCATATTCCTATGGTAGGAAGCATCTTCCGAAGAACTAATGTTTTGTGGAACAGACTTAACGTTAAGATGTTTTCCCAATCACTATATTATTGGCCTCTTCAAGTCTAGGGTTAACCG